AAAAAAAAAAAAAAAAAAAAAAAAAAAAAAAGTGAGTGGTTGAAAAAATAATGTCCTAATTGTGCAAAATTCTGGGAATAAATAATGCAAGATGTAGGGGCATATCACAAGGATGGCTGACCTGTTCTGGAGGACCAAGGGTAAGTGTTCTCTAGAAGGTGAAGGTCTCATGAGACATGGATGTTTTTATGTATAAACAATAATTGAGTTCATCAAGGAAAACATACTGAGAATCTACCAAACGCTAAGTACTATTCCAGGCACTAAGAATGCTAAGATGAACACGGCATGGCCCCACCATCATGAAATTTATAGTACATTACAGAAGGAAGACCAGTGGCCCCACGGGCCGAGGTAATGATGGACCATGGAAGGTTGCTGATGAGGGCAGGCACAGGGAGAGGCATGTAGCCTACCATCATAGTTCAGTGAGAACTTCTAGAATTAAGCTCCATGAGGACAGTGTCCCTCTGCCTGCTCAACAACGGGACCCCAACACTGCCTGGCACACACTCGTTGCTCAGTGTTTGTTGAATGAGTAACACCTGAACTGAGTTAAGGTTGGGTAAGAATTAGCAATGAAAGATAGTAAGGGCCTTTTAGGTAGAGCAGCATCAGAAAAGCCATGAAGCATGGAACAGTGTGGTTCCAAGTGGGATGGCAAGAGGCTGTGAAGGTAGAAAATGAGGAATGTGGAGTGGCAGAGGATTACACAGAGATGGGCAGGAACCAGTCATGCTGGTAAGTCTCCATTTAATGCTGTAGGCAGTGGGCAACTATGGAAACATCTTAAGCTTGTTATGGTCTAGTTAAGAGGATAAGGAGATAACCAGATGAGATAATCAGTTATCATCTGGTCCCAGGTCCAAAATTCAGAGCCAGTAGAAAGAAAGGGAGAAAGACAGATTCCAGAAATGCTTAGCAGGGAGATCAAGAGGAAGTGGACGTTGAACGTGAGGGTGAGAAAGAAACAAGTCTTAGATAATTTGCAGATTCCTTCTTGAGACTCTGGGCCATTGCCCAGCTGTCTGCTAAGACTGGGCACAGAAGAAGCAGAGCAGAAGTGTCCATCTCAGTGAAAAGGATGAGGAGTTCAAATTTATAGTCGGTGAGGAAGGCACCTGAGGGACACACACACACAACACTGGCCTAACGTGCAGTTGGCAGATTTAAATCTGAATCAAACTCAGGAAAAGTTGGAGTTGCAGATACTGATTTGGGAGTCATCGGTCTCCAAGGAGAGTTAAAATCCTCAGAGCATATAAGAAATCCAAGGGCTGTGTGTCCAGAGAGAGAAGAGCAGGAATCCTAAGAAACCCCAGCACTTAAAAGGTGGGCAGAGAAGGTGAGGGAGAAGGAAGCAGAAGAAACAAATGGCAGAGAGTAGAAAGTGAGAACTGTGTCAAGGAATCCAGGCCAGGAGAAAATGCCAAGGAAGAATGCAAAATCACATGTGCAACAAAACCTGCTGATAGAAACAGAACATAAAGCCACACATAGACGAGGCCTGAATATAATACAAATCTAGGCCGATAATTACTGAAATTGATCATTGTTTCTCCCAGCCTTCCTTGCACTCAAGGCATAAGAAAAAACATGATGGGTTTTCTAAGGCTCATAATTTGGTACAAGAGTTTATTTCTTCGACAGGGAAAGTGACCTGTTGAATGCCTAGGAGCATAAACTCTGAGGAGAAAATTCAGCATGTTTTCATATCCTACAACTCAGTTATTGTTGTTTTTCTCTCTGCTATTATCCCCTAGAGCTGGAAATTGCAGGTAAGAATTCAAATCTCCTACCCCTGTTTTGTCAAAATCCTATAGTATTACAATCATTTGTGGCAGATAAGCTGGAAATTGAAACCATCAAAGAGAAAAGCCATCCCAGGTCAGTTTTGTCACAGCTAATCTGTATTTTAAATTGGAATTGTCTAATGGGAGAGACGTTTTGTAAACACAAACACTGCTGAGTGATACCAAACAATACTCCTCCTTCTCCTCCTCCTCCTTCCCCTCCTCCTCATCTTCCTTCTCTTCTTCAGAAATTGCCAAAAGGCCCAATGGAGGCACTCCAAACCCAGTGTTAGATAGAGTTAGACACCGAATAAATGGCTGGCGACATTTGTTTCCCATGAAACGCAGTGATGCTAACAGCTACGGGATGGGGTAGGCAAGTGAAGACTACTTACTTCTGTGTTTTCTGTGCTACCTTGGTCCTTCCACTCTCAAGACCCTGACCTCTTACACAAGCACATTCAGGCAAAGGCAGGAGCCCCCCCGAACTTGCAAGAAAAGCAATTCTGTGAGAGGGGAACTGTGGTAGATTAAGTATGGTCTTCCTCAAAATTATGTGTACTCAGAACCTCAGACTGTGACCTTTTAGAAATAGGGCATCTTTGCAGATGTAATTAGTTTAAAGATATTGAGATGAAACCATCCTAGATTTAGGATAGGTCTTAAATCCAATGGCAGGCGTCCTTGTAAGGAGTGAAGAAGACACAGAGAGACACACAGGGAAGGCCACATAAAGATGGGCAGAGATTGAAGGCATGTGGCTTCAAGCCAAGGAATCTCCGAGGCGCCAGAAGCTGGAAGAGACGAGAAGGGATTTTCCCTTAGAGCCTTCAGAGAGAACATGGCCCTGCTGACACCTCCATTTTAGGACTTCTGACCTCCTGCACAATAAGACGATAAATTTGTGTTGGTCTATGCCACTACACTTCTGGTAAATTTTTACAGCATCCTTGGGAATTTAATACAGAGACACAGTGATCACTAAGGTCTTCCACAGGAACAGCAGCTCTGGGGACGGGCACAAGGGATGACAGGAAGACTGACCCTCATTTAAAATGTTTTTGTACGCTTTGTACTTTCACCATATATGTATGGTTATCTACCTAAAAGAAATTCATCACCAGGTAATAACAACGATAAAAGAATCTTCAACTTAACCACACTTTTCCCAGGTCTATGGACTCACCGATACTTCTGATTAATATTAGACTTCCCTACAGGGTGAGAATGCATTTATATTAAAAAAAAATACAAAAATATGGACAGTCTTGGCAGAGTTGTCATTGTAAATCAGTAAATTGGCTTATGGGTACTCTGGCAAAGTGGAATTCCTGTGGGATTCCACCCCAGACCTTGGAGCACTGTGAGAACACACCTGGGTCTCCCCAACGCTGCACTGCCATCTCTGAATATGTGTCTACCCCAGGTTTCCTGGCTGTGTGACCTTGGGCATGATATTTGCTCTCTCTGAGCCACAGTTTACTCATCCCAAAATGCTGATATTGCCCCAACCAATCTCCTATGTCCTTTTCAACCTTTAAATTTCTGGATGCCTTTGTAAAAAAGAATTTGAATGACCTGAGAAAATGATTATTTTTCATGGTAATTTTTTAAAAAGGATGTAAAGCTATGCTTAGTATAGAAAATCAGTATGTAAATACTTAAGAACATACAACAAACACATGCATACTTCTTGCTTCACAAGGAAAACTGAAAAGAAATACTGAAAGACTAGATACATCTGACATCGAGTGGAAATATGATAGGCAATTAAAAATTTTTTAATTAGTACTTTTTTATAATTTCTAGATTTTCTCAAATGAGAAAATTTTAACTGTAAAATATATATGTGTTAATTACTGAAAACTCTCCAAGATGCCTGAGTCAAGAGCAAACTCTCAAGGTTTCGCTGAAGCACTGCCACAGTGACCTTCTAAGTGACACTTTGAAGATCACTGCTAGAAACACATCAACTCACAGCTGAAAAAGAACTCGGTGATGCTATTAGTAAAAGACAGCCCCCTAGATATGAGTACTGGTGTACAAAGATGTTCAGGATATATATATATATATATATAACATATTATATATCATATATGTGTATATTACATATTATATATCATGTGTGTATATTACATATTATATATGTATGGAATATGTATGTGTGTAATACGCATGTATGTATATTACATGTTATATATGTATATTACATATATGTGTGTTTGTAATATGTGTGTAATATACATATATATGTAATACATATAAGTCTCTAGAGCGAGAATATAGACTTATATATAGGCAGAGAGACTTTTCTGTATATCAAAAATGGTTTGTTTGTTTGCTTTTAGATAATGAATGCATGTAAAAACTGGTGAAATACAAGTAGAGTTTGTAGACTTGTTAATTGCATCATGCCAATGTCCATTTCCTACTTTGACCACGTGCTACAGTTATGTAAGATGTTTGTGGCAGGGGAGGGGGAAACTGGAGGAACATATAGCTTTCTCTGTACTATTTTTGCAA